GAGAGAGGAAAGGAGAGGGTTAGAGAGTTAGGAACATCAATGAGAGAGACACCGATTCAACTGCCTCCTGCACACCTCCCACCGGGGATATGCCCAAAACCAAGGTACATGCCCTTGACCGGAATCGAACCTGGGATCTTTCAGTCTGCAGACTGACACTCTACCACTGAGCCAAACCAGTTAGTGCAATATAGGTGTTCTTTTAATTTAGTTCCTTAAAGTATTTTGAATAAGTCAACAATGAAAATCAGTTAAAACATAGAATAGGAAATAATGGACGTAATATAAATTTTTTCTTAAATTGTAGCCAAAATTAATTTTTTTCCTGTCCTTCCCTCCTTCACAACCTTCCCATGGCTTTTTTTTTTTTTATTGCCTTTAACCCAAACTCTATCACAATTTACAAATCCCTTAAGCACCGTCCTCTTTACTGCCCTCCCTATGTGGCCCAGGCTTAATAAACTTTAAGTTCCTTAAATGTGTATGTTTTTTCTTGCCACCAGTCCTTCCTGCTCCCTCAACTGAATTATTCTTCCTCCATCTCTTAATTCTTCAGATTTCACTTTAACATCACTTCCGTTAGCCAGATTAGATTTTAACCCTCTGGACTAGATTAGATGAGCATTCATCACACTGTGTGGTTGTTTGATTGGTGCTCTCTCCTGCTCCATCCTAGCAGCCTTTGATGGTAGGACCCATGTGTGTTTTGCTCACTATTGCATTCCCAGTGTCTAGTGCAGTATCTGGTTTCATTAAATATTTGATGAATAACAATATATGAATAGAAAGTTACAGGAAGCATTAATAAGGTAAAAACAGTTAAGTATTCACTGGGATTTTGCAATAAGAGCATTAATGACCTTAGTGAGCAATAATAATTGCAACATCAGGAGAAAATGTCAATAATACAAGAATGTTGGTATTTTATGAAAAAGTGAAATGTAGTAGCCATCATATTTTACATTTTGTCCTCAAGAGGAGAGTGCCCAGGGACCAGGATTTCACATTCCTGTCTTTTGGATTTTCAGACTCTTCAGATAGAATAATTAGGAGAAAAAGTCCTGGTAAAAGTAAATGAAAGTTTCTGGTAGATGCACTCCCTGTGAGCAACATTCTTGGGGGAAGAGTTAATTTACTTGGGGAAGTCAGGGAAGGCTTCATGAAAGCAGTAATGATGAAACCGATCTTCAGGTTGTAAGGACTTAAACAGCTGGTTAAGAAAGACCACCTAATAGTTTGTATTCAGGAGAATGTTTTCTGCTTCAGTTGCCACTGAACTAGTTCTACTCTCGGCATGTCATGTGATAATCGTTAGTCTGATTGTCTTTCTCTACCTCAAAATTAGGCAAGTCTTCAGCTATTAATGTTCTTGGTAGACAGGAATGTTGGGAGAAATGCAAAGTGGTTCAGTTTGGCAGCACCAAAAGAGGTACAGCAAAATAGTAAAAATGGGCCGAAACCGGTTTTGCTCAGTGGATAGAGCATTGGCCTGCGGACTGAAAGGTCCCAGGTTCAATTCCCGTCAAGGGCATGTACCTTGGTTGTGGGCATATCCCCAGTAGGGGGTGTGCATGAGGCAGCTGATTGATGTTTCTCATCGATGTTTCTAGCTCTCTATCCCTCTCTCTTCCTCTCTGTAAAAAATCAATGAAATATATTTTTTTAAAATAGTAAAAATGGAAAGGCCTTACCACATTATTTTACTGTCTTTTACTAATTTGGGAGATTCTCAAAATCATTAAGCAGCTAATTTTACACATGTACAAACTCATCAGTATTTGTTCATCTTGTGACACTAGTATAAGATTAATTAGAAACATGTTTGATATCAACAGTTAATTATGGAGTACTTAAGGTCTGTATTCAATTAGTCCTCTATCTCCATTAACATGTCTTTTACACAATAGGCACTTAATAGGAATGTGTTGGATAGATGGGTTAATATATAAATGAGAGTTTATTTGGAATCAGTTTTGTGTTTTGAGGGTGGCCTCAGAGTAGTTTAAAATGGCAAACTATCTCTTAAACTTTTTTTCTTTTTTTGTTAATCCTCACCAGAGGATATTTTTCCATTGATTTCTAATTATCTTTTTTTTTTTTTTTTTTTTTTAAGAAAGAGAGTGTGAAGGGGAAGGGGAAAGATAGAGAAAGAAATATCGATGTGAGAGAGACACATTGATTAGTTGCCTCCTGCCCGCACCCCAACCAGGGCTGGGGATTGAGCCTGCATTCGAGGTATGTGCCCTTGACCAGAATGGAACCAGAGACCCTTCAGTCCTTGAGCCGATGCTCTATACTGAGCCAAACCAGCTGGGAACTGTATCTTTAAAAGAAAATATCTCATCTTTTGCATATCACTCTTTGTTCTCACTGTGCTTCTCCACAGGCCAGAGTCTACTCTCTTATCACATTTAATTTCCATTTATTCTATGGAAGTGAATGGGCTATCATCAGAGAGCAGGTGTCTCTCATACTACCCATCTTTTGCATATCACTCTTTGTTCTCACTGTGCTTCTCCACAGGCCAGAGTCTATTCTCTTATCACATTTAATTTCCATTTATTCTATGGAAGCGAATGGGCTATCATCCGAGAGCAGGTGTCCTTAAGCAGTGAAGCAAGAGAATTCAAAACACTAGCAACAGCCTAACAAAAAGAACCTGGCTTCAGAATGAATTAGAACCTGGCTTCAGATGCATTTTTAAAATTAGCTTTGTTTACATATACTCTATCAATGACTTAAAAACTGTAAATGGGCCAATCAGTATAAAGTCTTTTAAATGCCAGTCCTCCATCAAGTTTATTATAAGATAATGTTATTTGACTTAACGTGAAGTCAGGATGTTAGGGCTTTTCACAGCCAATGCTAATGCAAATGCATTAACTTTATCATAGGAGTTTGCAAACAATCCACTATCAAAAAGATTATTCATTAAAGCACTTTTCACAAAGCACTGCAAAGCCAAAATCTGCTTGTTTTGATCAGTATGCCCATACTACTCAAGAACAAACAGCCATTCAATGAGAAAGATGAAAAATCATCACTGTAACTGGTCCTTGAGCACCACTATATTAGCTGTTTTAACAAAATGGAATAGACTGGATGGCTTAAACAACAACCAAAAATATTTTCTCACAGATCTAAAGATCTTGATCTAGAGATTTCCTAGATTAAGATTCCTGGCTTATAGACAGGCTGCTTTCTTGCTGTGTCCTCAAATGGCAATGATAGCAAGCTCTGTAGTGACTCTCCCCACACTAATGACCTTATTTAACCCTAATTACCTCTCAGTTTCCACCTCCAAATACCACCACGTTGAGGGTTAGGATTTCAAAAATTAATTTGGTAGGAAAAAAATATTCAGTGCATAACCACTGAGGTGTCAACTATGGCATTGAAAAACTGAAGGCTAGCCCTGAACATAGTCATCATGGATTGGCTTATAATGATCTCTGGTCTTTCAAGAGGCAAGAACAGCCCTAACCGGTTTGCCTCAGTGGATAGAGCGTCAGCCTGCGGACTGAGGGGTCCCAGGTTCGATTCCAGTCAAGGGCATGTGCCTTGGTTGTGGGTACATCCCCATTGGGAGTTGTGCAAGAGGCAGCTGACTGATGTTTCTAACTCTCTATCCCTCTATTCCTCTCTGTAAAAAATCAATAAAAATATATTTACAAAAAAAGCAACTAATGAATGCATAAATACAGTAAGAACAATAAATTGAGGTCTCTCTCAAGCCAATAAATAAAATAATTAAAATTTAAAAATAATAAATGCCACAAAAGGCAAAATATAAGAGCTGCCATAAATAGTTTTTTAAATTATTTCAATTGGAAAAAATATATAAATTTTATAATGAAATGGTTAAGTGAATGCTGATATATTTATACTGTCAGAGTATGTAGACTATACAATGTTTATGATGGGTTTATAATATGTTCAAGAATTAAGTAAAATATGCAAATGCAAAATTTTACATACACTAGGATCTCAGATAAAATATCTGTATTGTTTTTAAAAAATGTTTAGTGCTGGTGAGGATGCGGAGAAAAAGGAACCCTTGTGCACTGCTAGTAGGAATGCAAACTTGTGCAGCCACTATGGAAAACAGTATGAAATTTCCTGAAAAGAAAATTAAAAATGCAACTTCCTTTTGACCCAGTAATCCCACTCCTAGGACTATATCCCAAGAAAACAGAAACACCAGTCAGAAAGGATATATGCACCCCTATGCTCCTAGCAGCATAATTTACAATAGTTAAGATTTGGAAACAGTCTACGTGCCCATCAGCAGATGAGTAGATTAAAAAACCGTGGTACATCTACACAATGGAATACTACGCTGCTGTAAAAAGGAATTCTTACCATTTTCAACAGCAAATATGGAATTGGAGAGCATTATGCTAAGCGAAATAAGCGAGTCAGAGGAAGATAAATACACATCATCTCACTCATTTGTGGAATATAATTAACAACATAAACTGATGAACAAAAATAGAATCAGAGACAGAAGCATTGCACAGACTGTCTAACCCACATGTGTCAAACACAAGGCCCTCGGGCCAAATCTGTCCCGCCAGGCCTTGCAATGTGGCCCGCACCTCGCTGTCATCACTGCACTCCGCTGCGTTTCCATCACAATGACAGTTTATGACTGTTCAGTAAACCATTCGGCCCGCGATTTAGGCTGGATTTTAGATTTTGGCCCCTTCTCTGATTGAGTTCGACACCCCTAGTCTAACCTATGAGGGAAGATGGAGGTGGTGAGGAGGTAAGAGATCAACCAAAGGACTTGTATGCATGCATATCAGCATAACCAATGGAAACAGCAGTAGGGAGTGAGGGCATGTGCTGAGGGGGTGGGAATGGCTGGGAGAGGTCAATGAGAAAAAAAGGAGACTATTCTCATGTAATTACTTAAACAATAAATAATTTAAATTTTTAAAAAATGTTTAAATGGCTCAAATGTTAACAGTGATTACTTCTGGACTGTAGAATTTTTAAAATGCATTTCTTTAATTTCAAATATTCTCCAGTGTGCAATTATTTCTATTTTAAGCAAAACTGCTTTAAACACAACTCCTTTCTTCATCCAATTTAGAATCATAATGCTGGACTTGGCTATTAGCTGATAATGAAGAGCTGGAGAGAGTGTCTACCAAGTTGCAATTTGTTAATGTCAAAGCCAGGACTAGAAACAAGTTCTCCTACCTTGAAGTCTTCATACTTTGCTGACTAGAGGGAGCAAGCTTTTGTTGGGGCTCTTTTGTACCCATTGGTGTATCCAGGTTGCTGGCTTCTTTAGCTCAAACTCTGGAATATTTGAGGCAAAAAAGAGAACTTGTTATCACGCCAAGTAAAAGGAAACTTTGAGATATAATTCTCAAAATGTGGTTGTCTGACATTCTGCATTATAATTAATAGTGGTAAATGTTAAAAAATGATGATCCCAGCCAGCATTGCTCAGTTGTTGAGTGTTGACCTGAGAACCAGGAGGTCATGGTTCAATTCCTGGCTGCAGGCTCAATACCCAGTGTAGAGCATGTTGGAAGCGGCCGATCAATGATTCTCTCTCATCATTGATGTTTCTAGCTCTCTTTCCCTCTCCCTTCCTCTCTAAAATAAACAAAAATATATTTTAAAAATAAATTAAGATTACAATGGAAAGAGCCCTGGGAAAGGTAAAATACTAACAGGTTCACACAAAATTTATCAATTATGTATCAGATCCTTTCCAGAAAATAACTTTTAATTCCCTTCTTTTTTAGTATGCTCATTTTTATTTTCCCCCAGCACTTGGCCCCATCAAAAAATAAGAATGGCGGAAACCGGTTTGGATCAGTGGATAGCCTGCGAACTGAAAGGTCCCAGGTTTGATTCCAGTCAAGGGCATGTACCTTGGTTGCGGGCACATCCCCAGTAGGGGGTGAGCAAGAGGCAGCTGATTGGTTTCTCTTTTATCGATGTTTCTAACTCTCTATCCCTCTCTCTTCCTCTCTGTAAAAAAAATCAATAATATATATATTTTTTTCTTAAATATATTTTATTGATTTTCATTTGTTTTGGCAGCACTTGCTGACCCTCCCACACCCCACTAGCTCCCCAGTAAAGATCTAGGGAGCAGTTGCAAGATCAAGCTTAATTATGCTTAGAGGACTGTGCCCTCCAAGCTGGGACTTGTTTGTAACTTTGCCAGCAGGTCAGTCCGAGGCTTAAACCTATAACTGCTTCCTACAGATTACCACCTTACTAAAATTTTAAAAAATTCCTCAAAATTTTTACTTATCATTGGTTTACATTGCTAGAGAAACCAGAGGTGTTGGTTGGTTGTTTTGTTTGTTTATAATATTTTTAAAAGTATGTCTTGATTGAGGAAAAGGGAAAGGTTGAGAGAAACATTAATGAGAGAAAAGTGCCTCCTGCACACCCTGTACTGGGGAATGAGCCAGCAACTCGGGCATGTGCCTTGATCAGGAATTGAACTGGAGACCTCTTGGTGCATGGGTCAATGCCCAACCACTGAGACACACCAGCAGGCTATAACTTTTAAATTTAGAATTGCACCAGGACAGATTAGTGAAACATGAACTTTCTGTTCTGTTTTCTTCCTTTTGACTGGCTTAGAGAAATTTATTTATTTATTTTAAAAAATATTTTTTTTGCCGAAACCGGTTTGGCTCAGTGGTAGAGCGTCGATCTGCTGACTGAAAGGTCCCGGGTTCAATTCCGGTCAAGGGCATGTATGTTGGTTGCGGGCACATCCCCAGTAGGGAGTGTGCAAGAGGCAGCTGGTCGATGTTACTCTCTCATCGACGTTTCTAGCTCTCTCTCTCTCCCTTCCTCTCTGTAAAAAATCAATAAAATATAAAAAATAAAAAATAAAAAATATTTTTTATTGATTTCAGAAAGAGAGAGAGTTAGAAATATCAATGATGAGAAAGAATCATTGATTGGCTGCCTCCTGCACACCCCCTACTGGGGATCAAGCCTGCAACCTGGGAATTTGCCCTTGACCAGAATTGAACCCAGGACCCTTCAGTCCACAGGCCGACGCTGTATCCACTGAGTCAAACCATCTAGAAATTTAGATCAAGTGAAGTTTATACTAAGCATAATATTGATTTGCCATACTTATTTGAAACAACCAATAAGCATAATTTTAAAGCACTCTAAGTGGGAAAAATACCTGTAAAAATTACCACCTGGATACATACCACTGTTTTATAGTACAGAAAGAAAAAGGGCTGCAGACTGTGTAGCAATACACTGATTGATTAGAAAGGGATGGAAGAAATTTTCTTTCATGTCATAAACTGTTTGATTGTGATACTTGCTAGATAGAAATGAGAGAATTTTTTTGAGTTCCTTTTAATAGAGGTTCCTAACCATTCAATTTTAAAAAGTATGAAGCTGATATTTTTCAAAATCTCTGTATTTTGATAGGAATAATCAAGACATCTACTCTGTACCCAACACTACAGATACTGAGAGAAATCTGAAAGGTTAAAATATGCTTCTTGCCCTGGACCATTCTCCAGTCTTGTTAATCAAGATGTGTATGCTGAAATTAGGTAGCATCCATCTATACAAATAGTAAGGTACTTGATAAATGTCATCAATGGTCAGAAAAGAAATATATAATATCAAGGTAATCTGGAAATAAATGGACAGTAAAGAAGGCAGGATTTGAGTTAGGCCTCTGGTTACATATTGTAGAATGTGGTTAGGAAGAGAAGAGGAAATAATAGAGCATTTTAGGTGAGATAGACAAATATAGCACAAGCTGGTAAAAATTCTTTGATAGGTGGTAAAAGTTATCAAGATGGTCACTGAAGAAACCAACCTTATCAAAAGACCCAACATTGGTGTTTGTCAAGATTTGTTTTCAGATAAGATGAGCTTTTTTTTCTCCCAAGTAGTGAGGATGGACTTGTGTGTTCACTATTTATGTAACCTGGGACAGACTAAAGATAACAACAGGCCTAAAGCATGCTGGAAACTAATCCTACATAATATCTCTGAGCAGTAACCAACACAGTAATTTACAAAGGAAATTCCTTTAAGGGAAGTGAGGCCAGGTTTTATAACCACCAGGGGGAGAGAGCACATTAAAAAAGAAAAAAGAAAAAAAAAAGGGGCGAAACCATTAGCAATCTACTAAATACTAGAAAGAGCAATTGCCCACCAAACTCAGGCCCCTAGGATCACAGCTTCTTAGTATGCATTTTACTTCCAATAAGCTAAGTAATGAATTCCCACTTAAATACCATTCTGATTTATAACCTGCTTCCTCATTCCAAGAAGACATTTATATGTACAAAAGGTTTAAAATAATTGCAAAATACCCAAATTTAAAATAATGGGTAAATATCTAGCAGTTGTATTGTTCTCTTAGATCACTCATCCTTTCAGAGGTACCCCAACAATGAACCCCTGGATTCCCTGGTTTCAACTTGCCCTTAACAGCCCTCCCTCCCGGCTTTCCTGGCCTTCACTCCTTTTCCATAGCCAACTCTGTCCCCACCATCTGACCCAAGTTACTTAGGAGGCAGTGCCCGTAGCCTAGCCTGGGGCGCCAGCCCGAGGGCCAGCCAGATGCCCTTCTGATTGTGACCTCTAGACCTTGCTCTCCTGGGCCAGATAAAGATTTGTTCTTTACGCGGAGAGAATGTGTGAAAAACCAGATGCTCTTTTTAACCATGACATAATTTTAATAAGCACTTATGTTCCAGACCCAACTTCTAAAATGCGGAACATTAATTCGTGTAATCTTCATAAAAAAAAAAGAAACACAAACCAAACACCACGAAGCGGGTTCTAATACTACCGCCGCGTCGCAGGTGAGGACGCTGAGGCACAGCGAAGGGCTGAGCTCATCATCGAGGGAACGTGGTTCGCACCCGGCTGGGCAGAGCCTCGGGGACACTCCCCTCGCCTGCGCTGGGACGGTGCCCAGCGGCTGCGGGCTGCGGGCTGCGTGGGGCCCGCGGGGGAAGACTTTCTACTTGGCGTTGTCCTTGAGGGTGGCGCCCGCACCCTTCCCTGGAGCGCAGGGAGGCTGATTACACGCGGCCTTGGCAGGCACGTGACCTATGGGGCGGGCCAGTCCTCCGTCGGGGGGCGGGGCCTGGTGGGAGCCCCGCCCCGTCTCGGACCAATTAACTGGCAGCAGCGGGCTCCACTTCAAGGCACAGCGCGCTGCGGAGCGGGTGTCCCGGTAGCTACGATCATGGCCACGGTGCGGGAGAAGGCGGCGGCACTGAACCTGAACCTCTCCGCTCTCCCCAGCCCGGCGCAGAGGCCGCCCGGTAGGTGCTGAGGACTCTGTCCGGGGAGGGGGAGGCTCACCGGGCGGACAGGTGAGCTGAGGCTACTGTTCTCGCGCGGGATACACTTTCTGGATAAGAAATATTTCAATGAATACAGGTTTTGGACTTTTTTTTTTTTTTTTTTTTTTTTTTTTTTAATGGTTGCATGACATTAGGAAAGGCGCTGGTGAATTCTGCCACCAGGTTAATCATATCTTTGGGGGCATTTGTTTAGTATCTTGGTTTCTTTAAATGTCCAAATGAACGGAATCGGGTGATCAGTTACAAAATTCCGATTCTAGCATACCTATAACTCAGTAAATATAGTTAAGATAACACGTGGCTCCCCCCCCCCTCCTTTTTAGATAAGTTGCAACTTTCCCCCCTTTCTATAGCTGCAGGGTGGGGTGTTAGAGGAATTGGTTCCCTCCTGACAAAAAGCTTTTCATTTGTAAAAAGCTGACCAGGTGACAGTGGTCAGTGAATTGAGTTGGGTCAAATGAGTGCGTCTCAGTGGCCCCAGTCTTGTGTTTGACTTATAATTAGTAATATTCCTTTTAATCTTCAAAAGTTCATGACAAGTTGTATTAAGAACTGCTTTTCTTCTGTACTTTTCTAAGAATAATCATAATAATGACCTATCCCGGTCCAATTTAAAAGGATTCAGAAAAGCACATGATATCTACCTTCAGAATTTTTTCGTTTTACATTGTGAAGAGAAGGAAAATACTTTTCATCATTTTCATTCAAGAATTTAAAATCAAATGATACTGGAAACAGCCTAAAGATTTCTTTAGGCTCACTTTCTGAGTGAAAGAAAGCCCCAAATTTTACATAATTAAAAATATGGCACCCTATTTTCTCCAACAACTGAAATGCCAATTCTAAGCTTTGGGCTTTTGTGAACAGATTCTCAGATGGTGTAAGGGAATATGTGTTCAAAATTAAGTAGCTGACTTTCAGAAAGAAGAGCTGAACTTCTGCTTAGTGGATCTGAATCCAAGG